TTATGACCATGATAATGACAATGTGAGCATATTGTCATTATTGAATTATTTGAAATGATTTCTTTTTCTTTTTTTAGGCATTCAAGCTTAACTTTCAAATCGAAATTTTCTTTTTCAATATTTTCAAACTTTATTTTTGAAAATTCTAAATCCTTCTTCAGCATTTCATTTTGTTTTTCAAAATCCATTTTGATTTCTAAAAGAAGGTTATTTAATTTGAAAATTTCTTTTTCAAAGTTTTCAGATTTTATTTTCGAAAGCTCTAACTCCTTTTTCAACATTTCATTTTGATTTTCCAAGTCTGTTTTAGCTTTCAAAATAAACTCATTTTTAGCTATAAATTTAGAAATCAATTTATTGTATTTGGAGTTCATGGTCTCAAACTCCGAAAACAATTTATCATAAGCATCTTGTAACTCACTAAAGGATTTTGAATTTAATCTATTTGAGTTAGAAGATACCTTTGGCTCTGTGAGAGCTAATAGAGACATTACTTTCATTGGTTCTTCTTTTTCCTCGTCTCTATATATCTCCTCAAGCTTTTCCCACATTTCCTTGGCATTTGAACAAGAAGAAACTCCTTTATATACATTAGGATCAATTGCACAACACAACATGTTCATAGCCTTTGAGTTTTGTTGAGCTTCATTCCGTTCTTGAACACTCCACTTCTTTGCCTTCTTAGTAGGAGAGGAATATCCTTTCTTGATTATCATCCAAGCTTCCATATCAAAAGCTTTGATGAATATCATCATACACCTCTTCCAACGACGATAATTTGTTCCATTGAAGTAAGGAGGTACGTCAATTGGTCTGGATTCTTCCATGGAGAATGAACCGGAAGTGGACGCCATCTTTATCGATTTAACTCTTCCCGGATCTACTCAATAGGCGGTTAAACCTTCAAATGAGTGAGGCTCTGATACCAATTGTTGAGTTAATCGATTGACGGAATCGGCCAAGAGGGGGGTGAATTGGCAATTAAAAATTTGGTGGATGCTTTTGCAGAAAATTGAAAGAAATTGCACAGCGATTTACAGTGGTTCGACTTTCTCAAACAAAGTCTACATCCACTACCTTAGCTATCCACACTAAGGATTTTCCAACAAATTCACTAATTTGTTCTTTCTTTTGAGGCCAAAGAGATAACCTTACAATACCCTCAAGAATATACCCCAATTCTTGAGAACACTCTTTTCCCAAAGAGAAGATTACAAATTTGCAAACTTACAAGAAACCCTCACAAGGTAAGATGTTTGCACAATTCTAGAACAAGAAAAGAACACTCAAAGATAATTACAAATGAGCACAAATGGTGTTCTTGAAAGCAAAATGAATATTGAAAGGAAAATTGGCTTGATTTGCACAAACTTGGTGTTTGATGCTTTCTCTCTTATTTCTCTATGATTTCTTATTGATCAAGGGCTTCAGAACTTGTTTAAATACACCTTGAATCACTTCTGAATGTTGGGGATGATTAGTGAAGATCATATAGCCGTTTAAGTGTGAAAGCAATTAATTTTTCTAGGTGGAGCGTCTCATGCATCGATGCATGATGGATGATGCATCGGTGCATCAGTGTAAAATTCAAATATTTTGACCGTTGGAAAACTTGATGCATCGGTGCACCAAGTGTGCATCGATGCATGAAATGCATTCGATGTTTGAAAAATAGCCTGGTGCATCGATGCATGGCTTGTGCATCGATGCATCAAATGCATTCGATGTTTTGAAAATATTCAGAGTGCATCGATGCATGGAGAGTGCATCGGTGCATGGAATGCATTCGATGTTCAATTAATTCATCGATGCATCGATGCATGGACTGATGCATCGGTGCATGCCTTTGAATAATTGATTTAAGGCTTGTTTTTTGTTCAAAATACTTTGTGAAAATTGTTTCAAAAATAGGTTAAGTACAAATCACAATTTTACACATTTAGTAAGGATTAAAATTGATCTTGAAAAACTTGGAGTAATAATTTGATATTCGGTTAATTGAATCGAATATAAATTTGTAAAATCTTAAAATTCATTTAACTTAATTTGTTATATCGAAATATAAAAAATGTTTTCAACAATGTCCTTTCTATATCATGTCTTGATTCTTCATAAAAACATCAGAAGATGTGTTTCTTCTCTTGAAGACTTGTTACGATCAGGTATATGGTCTTGGCACTCTTTTTGTCCCTGACTTGGTTACACAATTAGTTTGGTTTCGTCAGACTTTCCTACCAACTAAAGTATGAATGGTTTGTCTCTCAAGACAAGCTATTCTTGTCTTCATATTTTTCCCTAAACACTCCAAGTGGAGAGGCTATTTTCTCAACATCTTCTTGATTTGAATCTTGTCATTTTGACATGATCTAAGCTTTTGGTAGTTCCCCAATATGAGTTTTTTGAGTGCCAAAACTTCAGCCTTGAATGGCATCATTCTTTTACTATTTATCAATAGCTTATACCCTAAATTTGGGTCTTGTCATCAAATATTCATTTCCCCCTTTTGGCTTAATAATTTGAGTGCTTGTCTTCATGAGATCTCACAACCATACGAAGATTCAAAAAGTGATCAATACTTCTAACAGGGATGCCCTGAATTTTTTCTATGAACTGAGATAATAGAAAATCTCAAAATATCATGCCCCTTATTATTAAGGTGATTGTTTGCTTCCTGGTTGATAATGTCACAAACAAGTGTGAGAAGTTTATTCTTCGAGTCTTTTGATCTTTCAAGCTTTATTGCTTCCCAAAATTGGAGAATCTCTTCATTGCCCCTATATAATTTATTCTTCTTGCTTTGTTTTTTATTTGTTGTCTTACTTCTTTACTTGAGGCAGAAGAAGCCTCACATGCTTCAAAAGACCTACTTCATTTTTGAGAGATTGTCTTGTTTGAAAATATTTTTTCTCCTTTCTATTATTTTTAGAATTTATAAGAATGAAAGAATTTTACAAAGTAATTCCCCTTGCTTCAGGCTTGCAATTGAATCAAATCAACAGTTCAATAAATAAAACAAATTCAGTATTATTTTCCAAAAATCATAGCCCTTTGACAAGTGTCAAGATCAATGGGCTGGTTTTCATGGTTGGCTTCTTATTTCTATGGTTTCAATTATCATGACATCATTTTCTTCTCGGTTCTTACGAACATCATGACATGCCCCTCTATGTTGGCTTAACATTACAAACGGATGCGGACAAAATGAGGCAACCAATATATTCAATTTCTAGACCTTTTAGAACACTTTTATTTCGGTTCTTTGAAATCTTTTATTTGTTCAAGCTTCATAGAATCCTTTAGTAAAGGCAATGCTAAGATATCAGTCTAAAATCAAAATTCTTGAGTGCTTGTGCGAAGTCAACTATAACAAGTGTTTCTCAACTCCCTTAGTCCATTTTCACTGATACTTCTTATTCAATTTAATTTTCCTTTGTTTGGCTAGCTGAAGGAATCTATCCATAAAACCAAGGCTTTTAACCAATTTTTTTAGTGGAATGACTCAACTTTATTGTATACATATGTATAGTTTTGCCTTTATTTGCTAGCTAAAGGAATCTATCCATAAAGCCAGAGCTTTTAACCAATTGCTTGATAGGAATAACTTAGCTTTATTGTGTATATATATAATTATAATTGCAATAATAACTTGGATATACATATTTAATTTCTTAAGATCATCAAGAATAATCTGTTATAGTATGGGTGTCGTTGAAAGTCCGAGAACATCATCTTTAGAGTTTGCTTCCCGAGCAACTAAAAACTAAGTTATCTATTCATCAATTTCATCTAAGAAGATTATGGTCATCATTGAACTTCCTCAATAGAAGTGCAATCTAATTAGTTTGGCAATGTCATACACAAGAGAGGCCCCTCTGTATCCATTCTTACACATACTTGAATGCCAAACCCTTCGATCATCTCTTCGTGAGAGGAGAATACTATTTTGGTCCCTGCAAGAGAAGGGTATGATAGTTGGGTGTAGTATCTGGGATAGACTTGACTGCTAAATGAATTAAGTAACCTCAATGACTAAGGATTTAATAAGTGATTTGGATGAGTCTGTGAACGTTGATGAACTTACATGATGTACTATCTTTATGGTTCGTCAATGACTAAGGACTTAAATGAACTAAGTAAAATTGACAGTCACCGATCTGAATAATTCAACATTGAAAAGAGCTTTGGACGAAACATCAAGACAAGGAAATCGCCTCTTTAGAGAACACTTTGTTTAGTCGGGTAGATGAATTCTCCTAACGACATGAAGGGATCGATGGAAAATTCATTAAGCTATCGACCAAAAGGAATAACAGGATGGAAGACACAAGTAACTGTGTATATCGTTCTCCTAAATCAGTGGTAAACACACCTGATCATTCTGATGCTGAATCTGCATTCCCATCTTCGTGCCGTAAAAGAAACTTACCCTCGTCCCCTGTCGAAAAAGTTGTCAATATTCAAGAACTAGAGCTTCGTGCTTACAAGTCAACAGTGGAGGCATTGTATGTTTCAGGTCCTTTGGGAGCAGCAAGCACTATTAATGAATCTCCGCCTCTCCCTCGACATTTTGGACGAGGAACACCTACTCCAGCTGAGACACCTTTTGTCAGCCCATGTTCTGTGACCGGATCTTGTTTATGTCTTGTCATGGCGTACGGATGTAATTGATTTCATCAGGCTCCATAACTCAACCGATGACAGTTAGGTCTGTTACCCATCAGCTATGGCTACCGAGCCTTTCCTCTTGCAGGCAGCATTTTAACCTTCCTAGTTATATAGCTTTTCAGGTGTATATAACACGTAAAGTAAATGGAGGAATTGGGGTTTTACATGTTGAAGCTTAAAGCCAATGGCAGGATTTCATGTCTTGTTATGAACGTGATTTGACTATAGAAATACCATATCCGATTCTTATTATTTTCTATTCGATATAAACCGGTTCGGCTAATTCGGTTTATATTGAAAGAAGAAAACAAAGTAAATTTTTACCTTCCAATTTTCAGCCATCCCAAAACTTAGGCATTGCACAACGAGAAGAGTCAATTGAATAACTTGTTAACAATTGAGAGAAGTAAATATGATGTATGTTATGTAAACAACATATCTTGGAAACAAACAGAAGTGTTAGATTGCCTTCAAATCACAGAATCTGGCAGCTGCAACCTTCTGAATCTTGAGGCCCTTCAAACCATATGTCCCATGATGGATTTATGGGACCATTTGTTCTGCAATCAACAACAAATCCAACCATTAGAGCTTAAAAATGGAACACAAGCAACTCGATCGAAGATATGGGTTATCGTAGTTACAATGGAAGTAGCGGATCAGGTCTGCTCTCCATGCTACGCAGCAACCTGATGGGGGTGAACACGCAAATTTATCGATCAAAGATGGTCATTTAGAATCCAAAAACTCGTTTCTAGGTTTGGAACTTCGTAGGAAAGAGAAGTTTTAGTTCTTAAACTTACTCCTCACACAAAGTTGACACATTATCTGTTTCTTCAAGCACTTCCATCTCTTCCTGGACAAAAGAATACACCAAGAGAGAAAATAATAAGACATACGACGCTGTAATACGGTATAATTCAGCGCAATAGCGACTTCTGGAATCTTATTGCTTGAAGCAAAACAACTCACAACGATACAGAAACCGCAAATCGATCATTTGCAAGCGGTGAATATAGAAAAAAAAAGGGACGGAAAATACGAAGTGTGTGAATCATTGACCTATAACGCCACTAACATGCTCATTGGATAGAAGTTTATGGAGTTCTTGGTACACATCGTTTTAAATACCATACAAACCTGTAAACAAAAGGGCATTATGCATATAATAGAATGCACATGGGAAATCTATTTTCTATGGAGCGCTGATGGAAAATGTAAGAAAAGGAAAAATAGCCAAATAGCAGCCACCACGGAGTTTTTATGTGGCGCAAGTGCAAACAACACTTCTAAAAGCTTTTTTTTCCCTTTATGAAACTCATGGGAAGCATGAGTGATCAGAGTGAAGGCATAGCAAGAGGTACAAGCCAAAACAGATTCAAAAAGTACTTTGGCATGATAGAGAGATTCCACCAGCACTAACAAGCACTAGATGTTGTCGTGCTTCTTCATAATGACCGTATGGGAAGCATCAAAGATTTAAGACCATTCTGCTTATGGTGTTAACGGTGCCGAGAAGACTAATTCAAACCTTCGTTTAGGATGTGATTGGATCACTAAAAGATCTTGTTACTTTGATAAAATTCAATTTTAAAAATTACAAAAACAATTTTAGGTTCACATGCCAAAAAATTAAGTTTAGGAGTCAATTTCGCGTGGTGAAGAATTAGCACCACAATGCTCTCAAATCGATACCTAATCAAATAACTGTTGTCTTTAGGAATAGAGCGAAACAAAGTTTAGCACTTTCCCTATAGAGAGCAGGCATAAAAAGCTTGATCTGGAACTTCTTTTGGCACCTTATAGATACTCCTGAAACATAATCCTATTTGATTAGACTTTGAAAAATTAACCCAATCCTATCCAACTAGAATTCAAAGTAACACGAACATTTGATTTGACCACAAAAAATATCTAATCTTATCCAACTCGAATCCAAAATAACATGAACCCGAACCAATTAATTATCTGATTGGAAAAACCCAAACCTCAAATCCAAATGATTTATTAAACCCAAAATAATCTAAATTCAAAATGATTCGAATTTGGAATGAGAACCCAAAACCAACGTGACTAGAAAATTTTAAAAATTCAAGTTTACCTGATTCATAGATGAACGGAACAGTCTTGGCCGATTTGTGCAAATTCAGCGATTACAATTTTGCAAGATAAAATTTTCAGTTTTTCAGTACAAAAAATGATATGTTAACCTCAAAAAATTCTAAGATCTGTTTTGAATCGTTGCACTACGCCACCGCCGTCTTCATTTACTTGGCCAACAAAATGGATAATCCAAATAATCTAACTTCACACACGGGAATTATTATTATTATTATTATTATTATTATTATTATTATTATTATTATTATTATTATTATTATTATTATTATCTTCTTCTTTAAGAAAAAAAAAACCTATGAAAAAGTTCGCAAAAGGAACTGCTCTTTCTTTTCCTGATATATTCTACAGCTTTATTTACGGAAGATTCAAAAAAAAATCAAAATTCAAACTAAGTCAAATTTTGGGAGGACATTTTCAAAGGATATAGAGCAAAATCATAGCTGAAAAAAAAAGAAACATGAAAAGCAACTAACCTCAAGGAACTTGGATTCTTGTTCGACTCGCTTGAGTTCAGCAAGAATCCGATGTCTGCCTCTGGTATCCGCTGCTGTTCCGGCAGCCGCTAGTTGTTCATCCGTCGACGACGCCGTTTCTGACTCCATTTACTGCACGGTCGAAAATATTGAAAATTCAATGGCTCATTCCAAAAACCACGCGCTTCGTTTTCATTTCATTTCTTCTTAAGAATTCTTCAGTGCGTTGAAATAAAAAGCAATCAAAGTTCACGACCAACCACCGGATCTGAATTTGTCCGTACAAAGCTTTGATTCTCTCTCTCTCTCTCTACATAGGCTCCGAAAACGGAAACGAGTAAACGACTTTTATTCTTTTTTTTTCTTCGAAAGCTCCTTTTTTTTTTCCCCTCTGATTTCGATTTCTCTGCCTCCCAATGCTTAAAAATTAAATAATTTACTTGTATAACGGATTTTCCTTGCCTTTTCTAATTAACTCAAAAAAGACTATTCTATCCTCACTTTTCGTCACGTTTCATATTCCTAACGGGGTTTGTTGTGGAATTTTCCTTTCGTTATTTTTGAAGGTAGGGAGGACTATGCCATAGAATTCGGAAATAATGGTTGTACAATAATAAGAATAAAAAATAATATTATCAATTAAATTTTACATCTTTTTATGAACAAATCAATAGATGATTGCTTAAAAGGGTTAAAGATTCGTTAAGTTATTAATGGAATTGGTTCAAGTGGTAAGTTGATATCGTTTAAGTAACATTTCAAGTTCGAATTCTTGTGTACGTAGAAATCCTCTTTAGGAGAGTCACCCTTCAAAACCAAGAATGCGACCCGGGTTGACCTGAATTAATTAAAACGTAGTCTTGAAACTAAAGGGCAATAAAAAAATCGATAAGTTGATCATTTCATCGGTTATCATATTTAGGGGTGTGTAAAATTACCCGAACCGGTTGACCCGACCAAAACCTAAAAAGCCGAGTAATTTTCTAAAAAAATATTATTGTGCTGGATAGGGCTCAGATCACAAAATTGAAGTTTTTCGAGTACCCGGTTAGTTATATATATATATATATATATATATATATATATATATATATAATGTATTATTTATATTATAAATTATTAGATTTTGTATTTCGAACTTTTAAATTTTATGCTCAGATGTTGGATTATATAATTTGAAGTTTCGAACATTTAAATTTGTGTATATATTTTTTAAAATTAATAATTTGAAAATAAAAAAAGGGTATCGGGTACCTGAAATACAGATACCCGATTATCGGATACCCGCAACATGACCCGGGTCGAGAAATCACCGACCCAGATGTTACTGGGTACCCGGAATTGCACACCCCTAATCATATTATCTTCACGATGAATCAATCATATTTTCATTATCTAACATTTTCTTTTGCAACTCGACTATTGTCCTAACCAACTAAATAGAGTTATTATCGGTCTTTAGAATTTTGAACAATTGTGCACTTTGGACATTGTCAATTTGAACATGTAGATATTCAAAACTATAGACCCATGCAATTTGCAAACATTCGTATAAACCCACGACTCAGCTTATTGAACATCAGTCTCTCACACCAATTTGTTTTGTTTTGTTAAATTAATATAAAATTAATCTTTTAATCGAATAGTGACTCATGACACGGTACGTGATATCAATGACAGTCACATCATTCGATTGGATGATTAAATTTATTAAAAGTATGCCTACATTAATAGAATAAGTAAATATCAACGACCAAATTTGTGATTATACCAAAATATTTAACGACGGTTAACTCGTGATGATCACATCTTAATTAAATAAGAACAGATGTGATCATATCTTATGTATTTTGAATTCAATGACCAAAAGTAGATAAAATACCAAAATAACCTCAAAATTAAAAATAGAAGGAGAACAAAATCCTTAAAATAACACTTATTATGGCCTTTTATAGAAATTAACCATTTTTATCAAACAAAGTCAAATTTCGGCATTTAATACACCAATGTGAAGCAAATAAAAGTCAAATCATTCCCGAAATTGGATTATGATTTTATCAAGTAAATCTTGCGTGATAACGACAGTAATCAAAAATATTTTTATATATTAATTAACAAAACATTGAAAAATATATAATTTATTATTCTAATATTGTATTGATAAAGTGGGAAAACTGGGGTAGGCGGCCAGCAGAAAGATGCTGCATTTTGTATTTTAAAAAGGGCAGCTAAAGCAAAGAATAGAAAATGAAAATTGTTTTTAGGATAAATTATAAGTCTAGTACTTAAACTATTAATTTTGATTTATTTTAGTATCAAAACAGAATAAACTTTTAATTTTTTAAAATCATACATAAAGTTTAATTTTTATTTTATTTTAGTATTTTACCGTTAAACACTTTAGTTTTTGTTTCATTTAGTATCTCTTTCAAAATTCAATGTTAAGTTTTGAAAAATTTAAAAGTTTAGATACTAAAACGGATTAAAACAAATAGTTTAGATATTAAATAAGTTAAATTTTTAACGGTGATATTAAAATAAAAACTAAAAATTATGTATAATTTAAAAAATTTAAAAAAATTAAATACTAAAATTAATAGTTTAAGTATTGAATATATAATTTATCCTCTTTTTTTTTGTTCATGACAAGACATATAGGTTCATCGCTCATTGCCAAAGTGCTGTCACCGCTGTCCTTATCAATTATCCCGTTATTTTATGAATATAATACTTGAATTTAATAGATTTCGATTTGATCTGATTATGTTTGATTTAAAAAAAATAGATTCGAATTGAGTGAATGATGTAAAATTTTCTGATCGAATAGGGTTGATTAAAACTCGATTCATGCCCGTCCCTATCCATATTATTATATTATATCATATTTTGAGATTACGTCATCAGCTGCATGGGCTTCACTAACGGTTGCTTCGTTAATCACAACCTGAGCCATCGGATCCATACCTCTTGTCTTTGTTGTGCTCTCCATTTCAATTTCTGCAGAATCGTCGTCGTCTTCCTTTTTCTTTCCCTCTGTTTCTTCTCGCTTTTTGGATGTTTTCTCTGTGTTGTCCTCCATCATCTTTGATTGTTCAGATGGAGAGACATGCATGATTTATATAGGATAGGACCACAAATTGTTTGGATGTTAACATAAAACGCTACGTGTCTCTTTTCTCACATGCAAAGTACACGTAACCTAACACCAATCTAACATCTCCACAAGGCAAGGCGACATCATCCGTGGACATCTAATCTAATCTAAGCCATTGCCCAATGGCTCTCTCCCCTCACCTCCACTCTCGCCAAAATATACATGCATTAACCAAAACCAGAAACTCCTATTTCATACGCATTAACACCTTCCATCAATGGCGGAGCCATAACTTGGTGAGGGTGGCGAGAGCCCATCCTGAAATTTAAATTTTTTTCAGTTAGTTATTTATTTTACTGATTGTGTCTACTAAATTTTTTACTCCCCACCCTAAAATTTGGGTTTACTTTGATTAGTTACTTATTGTATGGACGATGATCACCTAGAAATTTTGTTTGTACCCATCTCATTTAAAAATTTTATGTTAGTCCATCCTAAAATAATATTTATACATCCGTCACTGCCTTACATTTCATACCTATAAACCAACAAACGGTGACCTAAACCCAACAAAGCAAACGGACCGAGATTAGAAGGGGGAAAATGAAGCTTACCTTCGATTTTGGGGCATTTTTTGATTACCGACATTTCATTTCATCAATCCGAACGTGTAATACCCCAAATTTTGTCTAGTGCCTAAAATATAAGTTTTGAAAGTTTGATGATTAAAGTGTAAACTTTGAAAAGTTTAGGGATCAAAAATGAAATTTTAAAAAATTATATATTTTAACCCGTAAATGAATAGTTTGGTTTAAAACAAAGATTTTGTGGGAATCAAATTTTTGGTACGAGATTTGTGTTAAAAGTTATAAAGCGATAAAGTTCGGTATTGAAATTGAATAATCAGATCGAATCGGAAATTTACGAAAATTCGAAGGATGTTAGGAAATGGTTGGAAATATTATTTCCATATTTTAGATCAGAGAAATTTGGCTCAGAACAGTGTAATTTTTCATATTTGGTTGAACAGTGAAATTTTAGTGACAATGGCAATTGATATTTTTTGCATGGACAAAGTGAAAAGTCAAAGACAAGTTGATTCATCTTTGACCAAGGAATATTTTAATGGAGAATATGACAATGGCAATTGGTAATTTTTAAGTTTTAAGTTTTGTTAATGGCAAAAATGAAATTTCTTTAATTATTGAATTAAAAATTCAATTATATTAGTATTAAGCCATGTGTCAAGGCAAATTAATGTTAGAAAAATCAAGAAAACTTGCTCATTTTCAGCTTCAATCTTCTCCAAGGCCGAATACATCATTGTTACAAAGGTTAGGATTTTATTTTGATTTTTAAAGTTATATGATTAGTTTTTGGATTAAGTTGTTAGATAAAGAATTAATCTACAAAAATTATCTATCAATTTGTGTAAATATTGCATGGTAAATATGTTTGTGTGTTGATATTTGATGATTAGGGTTTAAGTAAGGTTTGGTGATTTTGAAGAATTGATTAAAGATTTTTATGTTTTTAAGGTTGGAGATTAATTCTAGAGTATTGGTGATGATTGAAATTGTTTATTTATGTTTGAATGAGATTCGACCATACCTATATGAGGATGATGGGATTTTGATTCAAATTGAAGTTGTGATGATTGGAAATGCATGAATTTGATCATAGGAAGTTGAATTCATGCTTGAAATTGAACAAAAGTTCACCCTAGACAACATGAAGTATTCGGCCATAGGGAAGAATTTAGGGGAAAATTGTTGAAAAATTTTGTATGGTCTAGAATGAATATTAGAAGTGTTCCATGTGATTTGGAGGTTGATTTGAATCAATTTGGAAGCTTGAATTAGAAAAAGGGTTACTTTGCAAGTTATGAGAATTGTGAGACTTAAATTTATTAATATGCAATATGAGGTACTTAATGTTGATTTTTAATAAGTATATGCTGGAAAAGTTAAGTTGGAAATTAGTTGGACCCAAATCACAATTTGGTTAAATTGTGATGGTAGAATTCGAAAAGTCACAAAATCTTAGGGACTTGTTTATGATTTTTTTGCAAAAGTATTGGTACTATTTTGAACATGGAATTTCAATACTGGAAATATTATTGGAATGTTGATTTTTTAAGTTTAATCATTTAATTGGGAGTAAATTACAAATTTATAATGTTAGGTGGTTGAAAATCGAAAGTTTAGTAAAGTTTGGGTTTAAATTATAATGTTTTGATTGTTGAAGTATTGATTTGGGTATTTTATTAAAGTGCTGGATTTTTAGTAATTAATATGCAATGATCATAATGGTGAAG